AGAACAATGTCGGTGGTCATTTTGCCAAAAAATGGTACTGGGCCAATCCGCCAAATTCAAAATTTTCCAAAATTTTCGGGATTTTTCCGAATTTTGCAGCTTTTTTTCAAAATTTCTGATTTTTTTCCAAAATTTTAGCTGGATTCCGTGAAGATATGATCACATCGATCAGAGAAGAGCTAAGCCAGGGAATTTACGCGCCGATGACAGCCACAGGCCACTTGATTGTCAACAATGTCTACGCGTCATGCCACAACATTGTCAGGTAAAACGGCCAAAACGGAGCGTTTAGCCAAAACGGGCCCCGCCCCTTTAACCTAAACCAATCCGATCCTAAACATCCCCCAAAACTCTAAAATCGCGCTTATTTTCTTCACCTCCCCTCAAACACAACCCAACTCTTCAGCCAAAATTTCACTACAATTCAATTATTCTTTTCAAAAATTTCACGTCACGTCTTTTGCCATCCTAAAATTAAAAATTAATTTCAGGTCAACTACACTCGTACATACGTTTCTCTACTATCTAAAAACGGTGGAGAATCGTATCAGGCGCTTTCTAAAAGACTGGTGGCCACCATGCAATCCGCTCACCGTTTGTGATTTATCCAACGAAACGGATATCGAATTCGAACTCGATAATGCAGACTCACCCGAATATGATGTGCCTTTCGGATCACGTCTTCTACTGGAACTACTCCAGTATTTTGTTGTGATATCGTGAAATTTTAAAAAAATAAAAAATTTCGCCCAAAATCGCATTTTTTTCATCTTCACGATGGCACTCTCAAATCCATATATGAGATAAATTTCCCTTGGTACCACACAAAAATTCTAAATCAGGTCAAATGATCACCTACTGACCGCAATCAAACCGATAATCCAGGTGGTACCACCGCTGGAAAACAGGTCAAAATGTTTTCGGAACATTATTTGTGATTATTTTATTGAAATCATTACCGTTGAACTGAACGAACTGAAATTAATTTCAAAGTTCCAAAGAAAAAATTTTTTGCGGAAACAATGATTATTTCAAAAACAACGCGGAATCGTAACAATAATACAGTAGAGCGTGATATATGGATGGATGTGTGCCCGTGGCAACACTGAAATTAATATCAGGTCATCGAAAAAATTTCTGAAATTAATATCAGGTCATCGAACTGAAGGAATCACTCCAAATGTTTTGCAATACTACAATGAGATACTTCAGGGAAAACGCGAAAAACAACAACAAGCAAAACAACGACCTGAAATCAAACAATGAAATAAAACTAAATCAATAAAAAATTAATTTTTTTCTGAAATTAATTTCAAAAAGGTGCCATAAATATTAACGGATAAAACGCACACACACAACAGTCAACAATAATGAAAAGTGAACAATAAATATTCAATCAATAAAAAACATTCGAATAACGTTAACAACGCATTACGCCAAATATTGGTACCAAATTTCAGGTTTTTTGAAGGAAAATTCAAACACCCTGTGACTTAATTTCAGGTCAATTTGGAACTCCGCGATCTGATTTCAGGTCGAACTGAGAAAATTAGGACCCTTTTCACTCAGCAAAAAAAGCTCAGTTGGACGGAGGCGGTGGTGGGTGTGGGGGGCGTGGCGTCGCTGCAAACGGCGGCGGCGGCGGGCGTACCATACGCACGCCACCAGGCGGTGGGGGCGGAGCGAACGGTGGTGGTGGGCGTGGTGGACCGCCCGCACCACCAGCAGCGCCGCCAGCGCCATAGAACGATGACGGTGGCGGAGGTGGCAGGCGACCAGGGGGCGGAGCCCCGGCGCCACCGCCCGTCGACGCGGCGGCCGCGGCGCCGGGAGGTGGCGGAACGCCCGGAGTGGGCGGCGGTGCGCCGCCGGCCGACGACGCGGCGCCAGCGTTCGGTGGCGGACCAGGCGGCGGTATCGGCGGCATTCCAGGCGGAAGCATGCGCGGCGGCGGTGGTGGCGGTGGCGGAGTGGGCGTCGGCGTCGGCGCGGGCGGTCGAATTCCGGGCGTGATCGGCGGCGGTGGCGGTAGACCCCAAAGCGGGGGCGGAGCTGAAATGAGCACAAATCAGATGGATGTTAAACCATCGCTAACGGACCAACGAAAGCGAGAGACCACTACTTACCGCTGACTGGTGGCGGTGGGCGTGGCGTTCCCATCGGTGTGGGCGGTGCCGGCGGCGGAGGCGGTGGCGGAATGGGCGTGGCGCCCGGCGTCGGCACGGGCGGAGGCGGCGGCGGAAAGACGAGCGGTGGCGGAGCACCGCCCATTGGCGGAGGCGGCATGTTGGGTGGTGGAATGGGCGGGCCAGGAGGCGGAGGCATGGGCGGAGCCATCATTTGTGGGAGGGGCAATTTGCCGTCCGAGAACATTTGGTTGGGTTTGTCCGAAGGGAACAACGGGTTCTGCGCGGCGAGCATACGCTCGGCGGCGGTGCCGTGACGCTCGCCCTGAAAACGGAAACAAATATACAACATATTCATATGGCCGGGGACATTTTGTCCGCTCTAAACAGCGAAATCAATTCGGATGGGATCAATTTGACCGGGAACAATTTGACCGGGATCAATTTGACCGGGATCAATTTGACCGGGATCAATTTGGCCGGGAACAATTTGACCGAATTCAATTCGACTGGGGTTAATTTGACCGAATTCAATTTGACCGGGATCAATTTATCCGAGCTCAACGGCGAAACCAATTTGACCGAATTCAATTTGACCGGGAACAATTTGACCGAGGTCAATTTGGCCGGGGTCATTCAACCGGTGACAAATCGCCCAATCCCAAAACATCCGTGTCAAATCCTCCGTGCCCAACACCCACCTTCGCGTCCTTCTTGAACGCGTAACTGACTGTAATCGCCCTATT